ATTGACTGAGATAATTAACTAAATAAACAGTCTGCCCTAATATAAAGCAGTTTCTTTGACTACATGCCCAGAATTAATATTTTTTTAAAAAAAGTTGGTTTCATCCATTCTGTGAATGGGTATTGTTGTTTAGACCTGAAGAGTCTCAGTCATTTATTTTACAGTCCTTTTTAAGATTTTAAAAGAAAGGCTTCTGGAACATTTTTATAGCTTGTCTAGGTTCTATCTATTCCCCCGTCCTAATTTTTCCTTATATAGAATTCAGATATCACTGAAATATCTTTTTAATTATGTCTTTACGTTGTGGGGATTTTGCCTCCACTCCTGTCTGCCTTTCAGTTCCAAATCGCTTCTTTTCCCAACCTTGAAAACAAAACAGATCTGGAATTCCAGATCTCAAAAAGAAAGGAGCGAAAAGCACACTTCTCAAAGGTTCATTCTTCTGTCCCCATTATCTGTACACAATATAACTATTGTCAAATGGCTGATGTTTAAATCCAGATCTGAACTGGAAAGTCAATTTTAAATACCTCAATCTGGCCAATAACAACAACAACAACAAAAATGGGAGTGAAAATGTAATTTCTTCCCTATCCCCCATTTCCAAACAAAAAACAAAAAAAAACCCTTTACTTCACTCTTGTCTCTTAAGCAAAATCCAGTTGGGAATATATTTGTATTATTATAACTACACAACAGCCCCCCCCTTCTTTTCTTTCATCAGTTCGTTCGCTATTTTTCTATCCTTGCATATTTACACAGAAGATTACAGAAAAGAAGCAATGCATATTATATTTTGCCCAGTGGTTAAACCTAAGCTCAGCATGTTGAACACCTAATTCAAAATGTTAGTAGTTAAAGGAAGAATAAGAAAAAAAAACTCTTGCTGAATCTCTAGAGGGTTATGGGGGGCCAATATAGGCCAGAAATTTACAACGTAAGCTTCTGTTTTCCAAAAATATGATTATGGCCCCCACAGAGTACCCTCCCCCCATAAACTTTTACCAAAATTATAAGGTTCAGTTATTAAATAAATGCATGACTGATGGCTAATATAATGAACTGCACTTTTTCTTTAATGAAATGTAAATACAAGTGTAATCAAATATTGTTATTTTATCATAGCTGTAGTCTCTTTCCTGAAATGTCACTTGAGGTTGGCCATAGGCTTTGAAAAAGCTGTTTATCTTTCATGTAAACCAGTAGTCCCTCACCCTTCTGGCTTCATAGACTGGCAGTGGTGGAGGTCAGGAAGAAGGGATGGGTTGCATGCTCAGCCCAATCCTGCGCATGCACAAATGAAGATTCGCATGTTTGCCCGCTGCTTGCATGGCCCAGTTCCAATAGGTTGCAGCCTGGTAGTGGGCCATGGCCCAGAGGTTGGAGACTCCTGATTAAACAATACTGAACAAGATGAAAAATTAGTAGGTTTCAATGCACTACCTATTTCCTATACCTAATGCCAATTCATCTTCTACACACTTCTTCCTAGGAATTCAGTTTTGGGTGAATTGATTTGTATGGACTTTTAAATGTACCGTTGCAGTGTAAAACAATGGACCACAAGTAGCCCTTGATGTAATTTCATAAGAGTGATTGATTGATTGATTGATTGATTGATTTTAGTAAGTAAGGAGTCCCTGTGAATTTTACTCTGTTAGTCATTGTTGGCTATAGGGGCAATGCTTATCTCTTCCCACCAAAGTGGTACCTATTTATCTACTCACATTTGCACGCTTTCTAACTGCTAGATTTGCAGGAATTGTGGTGAGGACAGGAGCTCACCCCATTGTGTGGCAGTTGGGTCTTGAACCTGGGCTGACAGCTTTCTGGCTGACAAGCCCAGTGTCCTAACTGAATCACCATGCTGCTCATTTATTATAGCATAAAATACAATTTTATAATATAAAATTTGGTTTTTTATAGTATAATAGATAATGAAGGCATAGGAAAAAGTAAAGAAGAGGAGAGTGGTGCAAGATAAAAGGGAAAGGGAAAAAAAGGAGGGATTTCCAACTTTTTTCAGTACAATAGAATACAAAATACAATTACAATCTCAACTTTGTTGCTTTGCATGTTTACTTAGTACTAATCATATTTATAACAACTAAATTAATCAAAATGTAAAATCAAAGTTTCATTTTTTTTCTCTTTTGAGCATAAAGTCCAGAAGCTGTTTCCAAATGGAAAGAAACTGAATTATTTTTTTAATTAAAGCAGTTGCCATCTCTGCCAACTCCATCATTTTTTCCACTCATTCTTTCATTATGATCTTAATCTAATTTCTTAAATCTTCTTCTAAAAGGCAGTTGAAGTTTCTACCCTTCTTGAGACAGTAAAGAAGGAAGGAGATTGAAAAGAAAACAGAGTAAAAGAAGAAATGGGTCTTGTCATTCCCTTCTAGCTACATTCTCATCCAATACTTTGCTTATGCCCTGTCCACCTGGTGGACATCTGCAGATGATCCTTGAAGGACCACAGAGACAGAGATGATATAGAAACACACACACAGACACACACACACACACACACATATTCTCATATGTCATCAGAAGTATCTGTGGAGGAGCTTATCAAAAAAGTCAAGATGGCAGCCACAATCATGGTATCAAAGTTACACCCGAAAAACACATAAAAGGGGGTCGGACTTTGATCACATGCTTGTGGACTCCATCTTCATTTTTTTTGACCCCCAAGAATATTCCTGAACACTTTGCCCCATGCTTTAAAATGTTCAGAGAAAATACGTACTACCTTCATTTGCAGAAATGCATGTATTTTAAAGAAAGAGAACTTTCTCTGAACTATTTATCTTCATCCTCAAAGAGGTCCAATTGACAATAATCTTGTATTCTTTTAAGACCAAACTAAAAATTCCTTGTCTTTTTCCCCCTTTATTGAATAGTTTTTTGTGTGTTTTATGGCACTTATTATATTTCTTGTCTTCTTCTTCTCCTCTGTTTCAAATATTGCACTGTGATTTCTTGTTAGTAAGAAAGGGTAACATATATATATATCTAAAACAATTAAGAATAAAATAAATTTATAACAAGTATATTGCTCTTAAACACACACACAGACATACAAATATATGCTTCAGGCAAATTCTTGGTGAGCAAGTCTCCATTGTTAAGAACAACCTGTGTCCTTAAGAGAAGTAGATAACATCTTCTCATTTGGGAGACTTGCTGAATAATGAAAACCTTACCCCATTACTCAGTGTACACATCTGAAGATAAGATTGTGTTAACCCATCAGCCAATTCATAATAAAGCATTCCCGTAATTAATGTAATGGTTTTTCTCCACAGCATTCACAATTTTCCATTTGCCAACTAGTTTAATACAAGAGTCATTAAATCTTGGAGTCTCTCATCTTCTCCTTATGGCACTGTATTCCAAGTCCTTATTCAGAATAAGGGTTATTAACAGCAAATAAGGAAAAATAAGAATCATCATCATCTTATTAGTGTCTGCATCAAAATTGTCCAAACTGAGTATGAGCAATGCCATAATAGAGTTACAAAAATCCTGCATTAGAATTTATGTATATTTTATTTTTACTATTAATATAAACTACTAGAACAACACACTATGAAATGAACAAAATCAGGTGGGATTTAAACATAGAATGATAGATACCTGAAGCACAATATACAGTACTAAGCCTTATCATAATTACAGGAAAAATGTGATTCATAGAAATAATAGTATGAGGAGATCGTCAAAATTATGAACAACAAATGAAAACTTAACAGAATATCAGAATTTACAAACTGAAATTAAAACACTGTGGAAGAGAAAGTCAATTATAATACTTTAAATCAGAAATGTTTAACCTTGGCAACTTTAAGATCTGTGGACTTCAATGGGGATGCTGGCTGAGGAATTCTGGGAGTTGAAGTCCACAAGTCTTAAAGTGTGCCAGGGTTGGACACCCCTGCTTTAAATCAAAGCTCTTGGAGCTATACCAAAGAGATTCACCCAAAATTTGGATGCTTTAAATTTACTAGACTTGCAAAAAAAAAAAAACTTTGCTGAGAAACCTTTCATCGCCATTAGAACAATACTTTCATGATTCCTAATCCTTTGTTTAGAATTCAAAATGTTGGTAAAAAAAACAACAATATATAAGGACTGTGATACTCAGTTCTTATATTGAGTGAATAATAACAACAACAGTACTAACAATGATAATAAACAATAGTAATCAGATTATCTTAACAGGCATAGTATTTCCAATTCCTGAAATAAAGCTGTTCATCTACTGTCCCATTTCATATTTGTTCAAAAGCCAACAGCAGGGTGAGGATATATTGAGATTTTCATGCTTTACCAATCTTGGTTTAAACATGGGTCTTGAGTGATGACCTTCAATGCTAATTTTGATGACAGTTCATTTCATCTAACTATAGAATATATATGCAAATAATTTAAAAACTCAGAGAACTCAAGTTAGGCTAAAATATGTATGTTTTTTCATAACGTGTTAATGGTAATAATATGTTATTAATACTCATAAAAATGCATATTGCATTTAATCCAAAAGGAAGACTAGGTTCTCCACCACCGCCGCCGAAATAATTTCATTTTAAAATGAGAGTATGGGGGACTGGATGCAACTTCTTCTTTCTGTCTAACTTAATTAATTCTGGTGTTCATCTGTATAATATCTGGTGCCTTATTGAATGTTATCAGTTCACCTTCTTACAATATCATCATAATTTTTGGAAATACTGACACCTTGTTTTGTTAGAAAGGTTTGGCAGACAATTATTTATTTGAATAGATCCAAGTTTATTTCTTCCTGGCACTACTTGGTTAACTTTGTAAGATTATTTCCATCCTCATGTCTAATTGTGTTATGCCAGTTTAACTGAAAGGAGACCTTGGCTGAAATGTGATACTATGTACAGAGGTATACATCAAGAATGTAGAATGAAGAGTCTTGTTCTCCTGGGAATAATCTTTGTGATGCATACAAATTATTCCCTTCCTTCATTCCTTCCTTCGTTCCTTCGTTCCTTCGTTCCTTCGTTCCTTCCTTCCTTCCTTCCTTCCTTCGTTCCTTCGTTCGTTCGTTCGTTCCTTCCTTCCTTCCTTCCTCTCTCCCACTCTCTTGACTGAGAATTAGCCATAGCAGCATTAGATTCTTAGACTTGTTGCCATTCATCTACATCCTGCTGTTTACCCCACTGTTAACCTGTATGCACAGAAATAGGTTTAATGGCTACCAAGCTACTTCAAAAGTTCAGCTACTTAGAGATTCTGCTTCCCTTGACCTTTCTTCTGTGTTCCACTCTTTCTTCTTCTCTCAGTCATTCAAATTCCCCAACCCAGTGTTGAAATTCAAGTCTCATATACATGCTTGACTGACCACATGCATGCTTCACTTCAGCTTCTGTCAGTTAAAAGAGTTAATATGATAGGATGGATGGATGTGAAATTGCGCTATTATTTTTAATTCATTTTTATTCTTTCCAACTCAGTAGAATGTTGGAAATAAACTAAATAAAGGGAACTTGGGACTCTATTCATCTGTCTGCATGTCAAAGTGACAAGTCTTTAAAAACAGAATGAAATGGGATCAAATTTGGTGTTGGAATAGAAGCTGGCAAAAAACAAATCAGGTTCAAAACTGACTCAATCAAGTCAGGGGTGGCAAATAAAAAATGGAATGGAATGACTCACTGCAGCCAAACCACCACTACCATCTCGCCATGGCCATCTTGCCACAGCCAACTCGCCTCAGGACAATTTGCCATGGGACCACATGAGAACACCATATCATCGTGATAGTTTTTTGGAAAGTCCTTTAAGATCTGACTATTTTCCTAGGCGTGGGTTTAAGGAAGTCTATGAGTATTTATTGATTGGTTTCCTCAAGTGCCATTTTATGTTCCATTGTTTGGGGTTCTTTTTATCCTGTTATTGCTTTATGTTGTTTTTAAACACATTGTTAGCCACCCATGGACATTTTTGCCAGATCTTAATCATATACTGTAATTAGAGATGGGAAGACCTGGGGAAAAAAACTGGAAAAATTGGGGGGGAAAACAGGTTTTTTCCCTTTTTCCCAAAACTATATTTTCCCAATTTTTTCAATGTTTTTCCAGGCCTTCCCATCTCTAATTCTGATTAAAATAAAATACATTCACTACCTATGTCATATTCATTTATTTATTTAAATTTATATGCCACCCCACCTAACAAATAATGGTAGGGTGCTTAGGTGGTTATTTCAGTTTGTTGCTATATCATTTGACTTCCCAAGGTTATATGAATAAATCAATGGAACCTTTGATTCTACCCATACTGGTCATCAGGATATGCAAATCTTGCAACTGTTCTTCTACTCTAGGCATCAACTTAATTTCACCTACAAGTAACTGCAAGTAGTCCAAAATCTGGATAAAGGAGTAGGGTTGAACTCTGCTGGAGGCTGAAAAAACAGGTATGAATCTAAGGGAAATAAAAAGAAACATCACATTGAGAATAATGCTGAGAATAATGAGAATATACAGAGCTTTAGCTGATGAATAAGCACTGTCAAATAACCAAGGTCAGGGTGCAGATGAACAATATGGGATTGGTTAAACACAACTCAACACAGTGAAGCCAGAAAAACAGATGACCTTGTGCTACTTTGGAGGAGAAAACATACAAAGGGTTTGTGTCTGACTATATAATTTCCGAAAGTGTGGTGAGCTTCCAACTATCCTCAACTCAATTAGCAGTTCTGTCACTTTCAGAAACCATGAAAATACACACAATTGCATCTTCTGCTCCTATAGAAGTACATCAAGCATGGAAAGAGGGTCATCTGCCAATGGCCCTCACTGCAAAAAGTGCATTTGCTAAAATAGTAAACCAGATGTCCTGCAGCAGGTATGTGAGATATCACAATGTTCTTTTTGTGCTAATGGTGAAAAATCAAAAGCTTTCCCGGAATGTTTTGATGTGGAGTAAGGTTGCCTTGTATCTGGTTAGGATGATTGGATCATGGCCATTCATTGCCTTGACTAGGTTGTGTTGGGGAGTCATTCATAGCCTAGTTTCTGAAACAAGTCAAAGATGGTGGAATGCACAAATTTTTTTATTGTGATAGACAACCAATTATTCTCCAGATGTTGCTGAACTACAACTTCTAACTTCTTAGGAAGAAGAGGCAATGGTGATGAATGCTAAGAATTGTTATTCATCAATTACATAGATTGCCTCCCCATGGTTTAGATCTTCAGCATTTAGTGCTTTCTGAATGTCCATTTTTATGTAGCATTACTGTATTTGTTAAATTTTTAATTTGCTCAATTGCCAGAGTACCCTGAGTGGATTACACATATGTCTGCTGGATTCTAAACCAGACTTGTTTTGGTAAATATCCTTTCCACTCTTTAATTAATTATATATTGCATGTGCAGCAAATTTACAGAATAAGTTATGCAAATGGTTCTTTGGGATGTCAAACAGTGTACAAATCTCTTTGCATGTCCAGAGAATGCCCATTCTTAAAATAAATGGGCAAACCAGGTGATACAGCTACTGTATTCTGCTCTGCAAAAGAATGAAATGGCTATGAAGAAATAGAGAGGAAAAAATAGCTATGAAATTAAATAAAGAATGTTGGTTTATATTAAGTCCAGCCAAAATACATATACACACATGTACAATCTCTATGTCATGCAGATAAGGAGTGTAAAGTTCACAAAGCCGAGCATACCATTAATATTGATATTTACATGGAACATTTTCAAAGCATTCTGTTTCTAATTTACCAGATCTGATTGGACTTGAAGGGTTTATTTGGCTGCACAAATCAGTTAACCGAGATCTCACGCTTCCCAAGTCTATAATAAAAATATAGTACGTGGCATATGCCAACAGCTTGTAATACAGAGTCTTTTTTCTTTCCTTTGGCACTCTCTTTTTCTTCTCTCCTCAAAAGCAAAAATTCTGGCCAGGTCAATCACATGAAGTTATTTCTCAAAGATCAAAAGAGACTAACAATACTGTAATAACTTGAAGATCGACTTGCTTAAGGGTTCTTCATAAATAACAAAGAAATGTACATTTTTAAACTTAAAATCTAAATGTCTAAATTAAATATCTAAGTTCTCTTTCTGAATGTTGATTTGTGTAAGAAGCTGACTTTTATTTTTTTTAAAAAAAGTGGGATCCTAAGGTCGAAGGGTAATTTTTTTTATTGTCCACGGCCATAATTAATTTTTGAGAGATACGAGTATATTGTGAGTATACTAGGACAAAAATTAAATTTCATTTCATCTGCATTGAATTGAAACCATATGCAATTAATAATTTACTATTATTTAATTATTTATTTCTTCATATTAATAATGTTTAGAAGTCTTTAATTGATCTGCCAATGACTTGTGATGGTCATCTATCCTAGCCAGAGTAAAGACCACTTTTAATCACTATGGAGCAGACCAATGATTAAGCTTGGATTATTAGTATGGGATCTTTGGGGGTGGGGTGGGGGGGCTGAAGTAGAGGAACAGGTGGTGTTGAGAAACAAGAGGTAGAGATAGTTATCTGATTGTATCGTGCCTCTTCCCTTTCAAAACCCAACTGTTTTAATTGTATACATTGTTTAAAATCCAGCTTCTTTCAGTGCTTACTGCTGAATTTCACTGGTCGATCTATGAGAAATGGGAACATATATAAAATTGAAAATATAAAGTGTTCTTTATTTGAGATACAATTGTAATATATCTTTTCAAGCTAATAGGGATTCTATTTGTTTCCAAGATGGTGAGAAGGAATAGTTGAGGAAGATAGACCCTCAAATGAAAAAAACAGATTTAATTTAACCTGACATAGGATGGCATGCAAAGTAAATCTATGTGGTCCCTGAATGTTTGATGGCACCTAATCAATCAATGTAAAGTGGCTCATAGGAAACACCACTTGGATCAATTTGATGTAATTGTGACTAACTTGACCCATAAAATTCAGTAATAGTTAATGCAGACTCTTTGATCATGTGTAGAGAGTTATTATTCTTCAGAATGAAGGCAAATGTTGCAGGATCCACTCTGAGTCTGTTGACAGGACCAGAGGTTTATTCTTCCAAGCTTTCAGATAGCCAGCCATCAACATCTGAGTTAACAACTGAATGGCCAAATCCAATGAGGTACCATATAAATACTATCCACAGAATAGCCCAGTGCACACATTTTGGAGAGAAAAAGAGAGAGAAGTTCCCTGAGGATGGACTCCAGCACAAGTCCAAAAGCTTGGAAGAATAAAGTTCATTTCCAGTGACTAACTCAAATTGGAAGGAACAGGTCCACTCACTATCACAATCAATAACAATAATATATCATAGTGAAAGCAATGTTTTCTTAAAAAAAAAACAATTTAAATACTGGCTGGTTATTTTTAGTATTATTAGGTGTAGCATATTATTATTAACCAGGCCAGAAAGAAATGAATGCACTGCAATATATTCTAAATGCAAACTACAGGTATTTTTTTTTTTTAAAAAAGTATGAAATGGGGAGTTTAATTATCCTGACCTAGGTTAGAGGACAAATTCTACCAAACATAGCTCCTGCAGGAAATTTCTAAATTTTCTTGCTCAAGTAGTCAATAGGAAAGACTTAATCAATGAAGCGCAAATAGTAGAAAAATAATGGATTAGTGGCCATTTAATAATAATTTTGGATCATAAGGGAATAAACGTTCAGCATATTTTAATGCATGTCTCGGATTTCACAAATCTGAGTTTTAATAAACCTAGAGCAATGATAAATAGGATTCCACCGCAGGAGAAGAGAATATCAAAATGGATATTTAAACTTTTTAGAATCACACTGCAAATAATTCATGTGTGGAAAAAATATAGGTGATTCAGTACTTACAGGTCAACTGGAATTCTGGAGATAGTATCAGGAAAACTAACACTCAGAACTGATGAGGATGAACTACTCATTGCCTACAATTGTGCTAGTCTTCTATGAGAAGATACATTTTCCACCAGACAGTTGCACAGGGCAGGAAGGGGGGACAGGACTGAAGTATGAGATTCCTAGAAACATGGGCAAGGAATACTTATTTTCCTTGAACAAAAATTAAATCTCCTGGCTCAGATGAATTTCTTTCTCGAGTAGCTTACAGATGGTTTGGCCCAACATCACAACCACCTTTGAGAAATGCTGGAGAGTGGATAAAACACTAGATAATGTGGACAGGGTCAATGTGGTCCTTATCTTTGAAATTCAACATAATACATCTGAATTTTTAATATAATATATCAATACACTTAATCATATCCAGTGCTATGTTCTACTCCCAGATTCTGCCAAGGAGACTTATGTGCATAGACAGGCTTCTGTGTTTGCATAACAAACTTAACCGGATCAGTTACAAACCAGCAGCTGCGTGGGCTAATTCAGTAACTGAGTTAAGTGACGTGCAAATGAAGTCCATGAGTAATACTTGCTGATCATGGCCCTGGGCATAAACCTAATGCATATTCCATATTGAAACTGTCTAGCCAAATTTCACTGCATTCATTGAGTTGAACATTCTAAATGTAAATCACTTTCAAATTCTGATGTAACTAGTTATATCAAAGATACATATACATATATAGATATATTTGAAAAGTATATCTAAATGTTCCATAGGTAACCACTTCTTCAATAAAGTTCTAGTCAGATGTTGACCTCCCTCCATGCTCATGAAAACATCCTTCTTTCTAACACCCTCTTTTCTCCTTCTCTAACTTATGTAAAAAGGAATTTCACCTCTTTCCAAAGATCTGAAGTGAATATTCAGTGATGACTCCTGAAATTAGATCAAGTGATGCATGAAGATTTAGGACTACCCACACTAATGTTATAAGAACCGTGGTGGCGCAGTGGTTAGAATGCAGTACTGCAGGCTACTTCTGCTGACTGCCAGCTGCCTGCAGTTTAGCAGTTCGATTCTCACCAGCTCAAGGTTGACTCAGCCTTCCATCCTTCTGAGGTCAGTAAAATGAGGTCCCAGATTGTTGGGCCCAATATGCTGACTCTGTAAAACTGCTTAGAGAGGGCTGTAAAGCACTATGAAGAGGTATACAAGTCTAAGTGCTATTGCTATTGCTATTGCTATAATGCAACCAACTATTTTCAGTCATTAGACAAGGGGTCCCCAACCTCTGGGCTGTGGCCAGTGGTGGAATTCAAACATGTGAACAACTGGTTCTCTGTGTGGATGCTGCTTCCAGAAGTCCATTCTGGGCCTGGCCAACAAAAAATTAGCTACCGGTTCTACCGAAGTGGTGTGAACTGGCTGAATCCCACCACTGGCTGCGTGACTTATTTGCAACTGGGCCATGGAAATGGTGGGTGAGTATGCTTGCACTTCCCCATTTGCGTGAGCAGGTGGGCAAATGCATGCACACATGTTCCATTTGTGTGAGCGGCAGGCAATTGGAGCTGCACAAGCATGCA